GTGCAAAGTCAAGCGATGTTAAAAACTTCTTGTCGCGATCTCTTTGTTCGTCGTCACTACAGTTTTCGAAAACGGAGTCGCTTGCTGACTTGTCAGTCTTAAGCGACAGCGAAACGTCTAGAGAAAAATGCTTGTCAGGTTTTTTGACGAATTAATGAATTTTTCATGAAATACAATATAAGCACTAAGCATAAAATATCTAACTAATTTATCAGTTGAATATTTTTTATATATGATTAGGAGGCTTAAGAACATATCCAGGAAATATTCAATTATGGACCGAAGATCGAAACATACTTTAACAAACGTCATAACTAATTCAACTACAGAACTTGATTTAATAACACCAACCCTTTCATTAATTCAATTCCATCATCAACCCTCTGTTGTCACTTGATTCGTTGATTACTCGATTCGTTCTTATACTTGACGAGGTGAATTTTGGGCTACGAGTTGTCCTCAATTGTCCTCCTCTCAGAGAACGGTGATTTACTGATAGAATAACATAGAAGATTTGTTGTTTGGGAAAAGGAAAAAGGGGATCATATGAAACCTTTTCGAACCACCTCCTCTGCATATGGTTTGAGGGCGTCATTACATAATTTGTGTGAAAACGACAAAGTCACAATATGAAAATTAATGACAAATCAATCGGCATAGCCTTTGACACAAATCCATTCAAATTTTTAGCCCTTTTCATATGGGAAGGATTATCAGGAGCAAGTTTCGATATTAGAGACAGCAGGTCTCTGGGTCACTGATGCACGCCAAATCTATCTTCGTATCAATGCCTCGTTACAAAAAAGGTACCAAACAATTCATGATTCTAAAATAAATATAAACTTGTTTTCGCATACTGTTTACTTATAAGGAAAGGCAAGTAAACGTAATCGGTGAGTATAAAAATTGGGCGTCTCTGAAGACCAGTCATCCGGTTCACAGTCAGACGTCAGCCGAAAATATACGGGAAGCGCGCTTTTCAAGGAGTATGGACGCATGTCTTGCATGACCACGCCAAAACACCATGCTGTACCCATTATTTCCAGGCCAACGAACCGCTGCCCAAACTTCGACTGGCCGCACCAAAACACAATGAAGTGGATTTTTTCTCTTGCTGAAGGGAATTAGCAGTTATTAAGAAACAATTTACGCAGTACATGGAGCTTGAACCCGGCACCTTTAAAATGCAAAGCTAACCACTAATTCATTGCGTCACTGCCCCCCCCCCCACTGTTTTCTAATTAAATTAATTTTAACTTGGTTATTTTTCCGTTTCTATGTGACTAAACATGTTTAATAATGGACCTTACAAAGACCGATAATTTTGTTTATTTCTTTCAGATTTTTAAAGCCAAACCAGGATATCATTTGTGCAGAATTCACTACTACGTACCTTAACTTTGCTGCAGCTTCACAATGTATTAACAGCACCAGCAGCGAGAAAAAGTCACTTTGACGTCAATCTTCCTTATAGCGAAAAACTAAACTTCAAAGTGAAGTTCGGCAGATGAAGAACAGTAAAAGCAAATGGTAATCCCTAGTAAAACATCTGAAACATACAGGGATGCCTACCCTTTCATTCATCGATACTTTTATTGAATGTGAGCAAAAGCTTCAGATGTTTGGGTGACAGATTCAGCCGATATCTGGTCCCCATAAGTGATTTTTATAAACAAGAATATAACACTCTATATAACATATTAAGTGAAAGTTTACTGTTTGAAAAACAGCCCTGAACAATTCAGATTATCAGCATATAAAATTTAAAAAATGAGCAAATTAAATGATAAATTATAATAAAACTAAAAAGCAAGCGAACGAAACTTTGCACAAAACTATTAACATAAATTCAGTTTCCGGTTCACTACACCATTCTCGTACGGGGTACAAGAAATCACAGTCTTTAAGGTTCAAATGATGCTAGATCCTTTATTTATGCTTGAATAGTTCTTTTGTACCTGAGGTTTCAGAATCGCCGCAGTTTTTAACTGACTCTTTCTCGAACACTGACGACGAGCTATTGGTAAACGAATCGAAGAGGTCAGCGCTGTTATTCTCCTCATCACTGCCATCGCCCGATTTGTCCGAGGCACTGCTGCAGTAGCCTTCGACGGTGTCGATTTGCGAAACGCGAGGACAAATCTCTGGCTTGCGTTTGGTAGGTAAAGGTTGCAGATAATAACTAAACGACGACTCCTCGACGATCGAACTGTCACTGACGATGAAACTTGATCTGAATTCCAGATCCATGGTGAGATGTGTAATATTAGAATATGATGTACTTACAGTGACTTTTCGTCATCGTCGTTCGAAACCGGTGGCGGGCGCATTTTTGCAATGACTAAAGCATTACAACAATTTTAATATTTAGTACATCCATAAGGAAGTTTTTATAATACAACAAGGCTTCGTCTCAACATGAACGAGACTGCATACATTAACGGCTGTTTCAGCAGAGAACCGAAAAAACTAATCCAATAGGGGTGAAGGCATATCTCCTCCTAAAACTGCACCTATAAGCTTCAAGTACCTCCGTTCCATTACAAACTATTAATTAAACAAGTGAAAAGCTTAATTTAAATGAAGATATCACGAAGTTTTCCTGTGATAATTAATTTAGCACAAAGTTAGAAGATCCATAGAACAATTCTCACAGACCATTTCGAACTGTAGTAACAAAATCCGTTGTATGTTGACTATGTGGTGATACTAAAGAAATACCACCTGTATTTAAACTAAGCAGAAATCCAAAACGGGAAAAGAAAAAACAATGAGTAGAGGAAGAAACAAGAATATGCAGAAAATTTGTCTTGAACATCTAAATGAACGAATTTTACTGCTTGAATATACGGAATATAATAATGTATTTTAGCACAACAGAGGAATAATAGAAAATGACGAAACAGATAAATACACGCTAAGCGGCAGACAAATTAAATAGGTGATTATATTATTCATTAGCAAGCGACGACTGGTCCTTCATAACGCTAGCCAATGCAGTACGGCTGAATTACGTCTCCATTCAGTCTGACAGTAGATGTTCACTGCATTTAATCTAGTACCGAGATGTAGGGATATACAATACGAAAATCATATGAAGTAAATGGTTGATGTTGGAGAGAATACCGGTGCCCAAACGTAAGCAAGATTTAATGATGATTTAAATAAGCTCTTCGACCATAACTTCAAAGTCAAAGGTCATGTACCAACAATTCGAGGGTCCGGTGCAGAACGCGAGAATCAATCTGGTAAGACTTTAGACAACAATAACTTTACTGAAAACTTTGCAGATCGTAATGTTTCCTCGGTCTATTTTTATATGTGCACAATGGCAGTGAAGGAATAATGAACATCAATCCGTTCACAGAAGAACAACCTGGCTGCTCTGCAACGCATCATTTCAACCTATCCTAAAGGTACAGCCAACAGTACAACTGGAAAACATCGAGAAAAAGTTTGGTTGGCGCAAAGGTCCCGGTAAACTACGAGCGAATGATTTTGCTAACAACGATGTTGGCGATGATATTTAATATTACGACTATCAAGAATACTTTCATTAGTTATTTAAAGACATGTTAAAGTATAACGAAAGTACGTACAATTTTCAAAATCTTCGTCATCCTCCTCGCTGTCGCTTCTAGATTCTTTCCTCGGTTGAAAACGAGTGAAAGAATGATTGGACGTCTCCAAGAAGGACATGACTTTGCCTAAAAAATAACCATTTAATTTAATTTACACAATTCAATCATGAAAATTTGTTGTATGCTAAGTTTAGCTCAAAAGATCGTATTATCAGCATCGCTCGTCGGTTAACCCATCATGAATGTCGTAAGACGTTGTCTTTCTATTCATAATATTTACTGAAAAATTGTTGTTGTTGTCACTGCCATCTGAGGTATCAGGGCCAAAAACCGATTACCTAGATTAATTTATCTGACGCTTTTGGGTTCTCAGAATGATTTAGGCAATAACGGCTGCTGAGACAAAGGTCATTTCTGTCAATCCACGACAGACGCTGGTCCCTGATTGCTTCCTACAACCTTTTCAGGTCAGTCTCTCCAAAATCTTTCAATATTTTATTCGACGGAACCATCGCACTTTAAGAATATTGCGCAGGCAGCTTTGCTGAAAAGTGTCCAACGTCTTTTCTTGACGGTTTAAAACGGCTGATGTAATAAGACTGTATATCAGGATTGAGAAGACACTGGTTTTAAGTATGATGTTTTTTGTTGCTGTTACAGGCAGGCAGGTCTTGCCACATTTTAGAAAGTCGTCCCAAGCTCACAGATATAAACCCTAAGATTGGGACTAGTTTTATGTTGCCGCTTCCATCTGTTTCCAGTACAGATCTGAGATACATGAAACTTTCTGCTTTCTCTATGGTCATTTCACACACTTGAACCAATGGGTCGTTAATCGAGTCGATTTCTCGCAAGATCTTCGTTTAACTGGGGTTAATTTCTAGGCCTGCCTAACTGAAAAGACAAAGGCAAGATCTAAGTTGCAAAAATGTACTGAGTAATTTCTTTCGCATATTAATAGCCTCATCACAAATGACTCATAAAACTTAAGGCAACCTAATGCTAAGCAAACACAAAATTTGCCTTTTAAAAATTTAATTGACACATGTTAAACGATTCTCACGATAATAATCGGTAAAAAAATACAACGATGGATAAGTTCTGTTGGCAGTTGAAATGGAACAAACTATGTTCCATGTTTGATAACAATTTTCTAAGGAAAACAATTGAAAAATAGTAATAATACAAAAAATTTAATTAAATTCAAAAAAATTAAATATAAATTAGTAATG